AGATTGGTCTATTATGGTTTGTTAGAATAGCAGCATTCAAAATGAAGCTCATACCTAAGATTAATTTCTTGCTTATGATGTTACCAATTAATGTAACAAAGAAAGATGCGAAAGAATGGCAAAATATGATTAATAAATTTTGTAATGGGGATAAAAAAGACAGGATTAATTAAAAAAAAAGAATATACATGCTCCAGAGAGTTTGGGTTTAGGCATTCCCAATGTGAAATTTTATTATATAGTTAATCAACTGAGGCATATACCAGATATTATACTGCAACTGGATAAGATAATATAGGGTAAATTAGAATATCAAGATGTAGGGGATCCTTATTAAATATTTTTCTTCAACAAGATAATAAGAATATTAAAAAGATAGGAAACCCCTTTTTAAGAATATGATCAAAATTTGGAATTAATATAGGAATATGTTTATTCCACTGATTTTGTCATTATACCCAATTACAGAATTAGAAAGATTTCCAGAGAATCTGAGTAGTTTGAGGGAAGTACTGAAGTATAAACATGTTACTAGGTTGAAAGATTGGTTAGAGAAAATGAAGAGTAAAGAAATGATACAAGCAACACTGGGATAGGGTAAAATAAATTGGTACAATACACTTCAGTTAGATTATTGGACTAAGAATTAGTTGAAGAAAAATGGTAAATGCAGAAAATATACTAAATTTGAAGATATAATTTTACAGAAAGAAACACAAGACAATATGTGGATGAGAGGAATGACATGTAAAATTTACAATATATTACTAGAAGATGAGGATCACTATGATCCTCTTAAAGAGTCTTGGGAAATAGATTTAAAAAGAAATATTAGTGCTGAAGAATAGAATAATAGGTGGGATAAGAGACTTTTAAAATCAATGTCAATAAGAATTAAAGAGGATTTTTATAAACTGGTTTGGAAATAGTACTTAACTCCAGTTACTGTAAATTGAATTACATGAATAATGAGTATTTCAACATGTGTTGGAGATACAACCAAGAAGTGGGTACATATTTCCCTCTGTGGTGGAAATATAAACATATAAATGAGTTTTGAGAAAGCATCTTTAAAGAAATTGGTAAAATATTAATTTAAATAATGAAGTTGATCCTGGATTAGCATTATTGTCATTATTTAGAGAACAGATGGGACAAAATACTAAAGAATTGATGATATATTTATTAACAGCAGTAAGATTAATAAAAGCAAAGAACTGGAAAACAAAAGGTGAATATCATATTCACTGGTATAAAGAAATCCGGAATATAGCATCATTAATAGCTTATCATTAAGTCAACTTGAGATATTAAATGGAAAAAAGGTTTGACAAGTAAAAATAAATCTGAAAATATTTGGAAACCTTTTATTGAATACGTTTTAATAAAAGGAAAGGGGTGTGAACCACCACAAGAGTCAATGCAGTTCTGGAAGGGAAGTGGGGAAACCTGAATGAATAAATGATCTTACACTAAGTAATTAGAGTTGTTGGTCCTGGCGGAGGTAGCACTGATATTAATGTATTGTTTAATTGTGTTAATTGGTAATGTTTAGTTACAATTATTTTTATATTAATTGTATTGTTTTTCTTAGTAGGAAAAAGTGAAATATAAAGCATTTACTTTAAAAATAAATAATAAAAAGCTTATTAACAAAAGGAAAAATTAAGGCAGCCCAGTCATGTCCTAGATTATCAAAGTGTGAAAGTAATAAAAGTCAAAGTTTGCAAATATAAATCTTCATGTGTAGGGTAATGAACAGGGTGAAATTAATCTCACATTTTGATGCAAACCTACTTAATTTAGTTTCTGAGCCAATGCATGAATTAAAATGCCATTATCTTTTGATATTAATGTATTTCCAAATGTGTACATTAGGGAACACTGCTTGTAAGCATAGGCAAAAGTGTAGTGTATATAAAAATGAATATCAGAGGGAATATAGACAGAAACTGATGCAATATCTGGTGGAGACTTCTTTTTTAATTGCAAACTGATGCAGAAAATGGACTGAAAAATCACGTACTGAAATAGACATATGTGACCATCCCTGAAAATGAGGAACTGAGAAAAAGCAACTGGACAGCTCTTTAGTCTAACATCAGCTAGAGAGCTATTTGGATATTTTACAGAAAAAAAGCTGGCATTTTTCACCTCTGTGGACTTATTCTAACTCCTGGCAAAAACAAATGATCACATATTCAAAAATTTGAGAGTACTTCTATAAACCTCATTATAAAATCAAGTAATTTCAACAGTGCAGTGTGTTCTACTGATACCATTATATAAGCCCAAGTAATTAATACCACTATTATATTTGTGTATTGCTAACTTGTAACCATTTATTCCCACAGGCATTGTTTTGTTAAGGAAGGATATACATGTCAAGAATTGCCTCACTAAAATATGAAAAAATATAAAATTGGATTTTACATTCCTAATTTACACAGGGACAGTATTTGGGTTGATGTATAATTTGAAAGTTGTTCAGCATGGAATAGGAACACTGATTGAAAGAAGGCAGAGCAAATAGAAACAGGTACTACTGGAGCCAAAGGAAGGAATGAGAGAATACTACCTGTGTGGGAGTACCAGATATGGTCCATCTTGGGGCAACTGTACATGTGCCTTGGACTTCTTTTTCCTGGATGGGGCTTCCCACCATATACATTGAATAAAATCTATTTTATTTAAAACTTTATGTCCTGTCTTTAATATAAAACATTTCCAGGTGAGCTTAAAAAGCAAAAATCTAATAATATATAGTAGCAAACAAGCAAATAATACATAAATTAAAAAGGCAACACAGTAACACTAAAGGTAAAGGTTCTCTCCCACATATATGCTGTTCAACTTGTGTTCAACTCTTGGGCTGGTGCTCATATCCGTTTGTAAGCCAAAGTGCCAGTGTTCTCTGAAGATGCTTCTGTGGTCATGTGGCCAGCATGACTAAACACCAAGGTGCACAGAAACCTGTTACCTTTCCTACTGAAGTGGTACCTATCTAGCTACTTGCATTTCTATGCTTTCTCATTGCTAGGTAGGCATGAGCCTAGGAGAAAGCAGTGGGCACTCACCCCATCAGGTGGATTCAAACTGCCAGCCTTCTGATCAACAGCCCAGCAGCCCAACAGTTTAACCCACTGTGTCACCCGCATCCCAAGGGTAACACTAATAGCAATTAGAACAAGGTTCTTCACATAAAATAAAAATAAAAAGCAATTTTACTGGCATCAAAAAGGTGCCAGGTGAACATCCCTGGGAAAAGCATTTGATAAACAGAGTCCCAAAACCAAGAAGGACTTCTCTGCAGTTGCCATCTGGATGAGGGGACTGACCTGGCATGTATTATGGAGACCTGGGCGGGAGGGGTGGGGGGCGCGTGTTGTTCACCCATCTATGCCCACCCAGATATCTGATGCAGCACCAACCTTACCTTGAGGGAAGGGGAGGGGCAGTGGCCCTAATTTATAGAGAGTCAATCTCCCTTGTGGGGCTTCCTGTCCCCTCAAGGCCGGGTCTAGAGTGTTTACACCTGATGCTAGGTGATCAAGACAGACTGGAGATTCCGTTGGTGTACCGTGCTCCCTTCTGCCCAACAGACTCCCTGCCTGAGCTAATGGAGATTGTTTCAGACCTGGTGTTGAGGACCCCCAGGATGTTGGTCCCGGGGGACTTCAAACTTCATACCAAGGCTGGTCTGACTGGGCCAGCTCAGGACTTCACAGCCACCATAGGGCTGTCTCAACATGTCACTGATCCAATGCATGAAAAAGATCACACTCTACACCTGGTCTTTTTGACGGGGCAGGAAGATGGTGATCTGTGAGGGACCTGATCTTAACCCCTTTGTCATGGTCAGATCACTTTCTCGTGAGATTTAAACGTGGGGCCAGTTTTTCCTTCACTAAGGGTGTGAACCTTATTAAAATGGTCTGCCCCCAGAGTCTAACGGATCGTGATGAATTCCTAAGGGCTCTGGGGGAAATTCCAGTTGATTTAACTGGCAATCCTGTTGATGCCCTGGTTGATTTGTTGAATGGGGAAATGGCTCGATTGTTGATTGTTCAGCATGATTGTTCCCGTGTCCTCTCCTGCCATGCAAAGCCTGCATCCTTACCTGGATGAGTGATGCCTAGCAATGGTGACTCATGATCTGGTAACTTCCTGATTGGACTATTGCAACATGTTCTATGTAGGGCTGCCCTTGAAGATGGTCAGGATACTTCAATTGGTTCAGAATTGAGCTGCCAGGATGTTAACAGCATGTTATACGTGCACAAATAATGCCAGTCCTGGCTACCAATTGAAGTCCAAGCCCAATTTAAGGTGCTGGTGATGACTTATAAAGCCCTAACCGGCTTAGGACCTGGATATCTGAAGGAGCATCTCCTTCCCTATGTGCCTTCCCATCCCTTAAGATCTGGGGTGAAGGTCCTTCTCTGGGAGCCCTTCTTGAAGGAGATAATGAAGGTGGCTACCTGGCACCAATGCTGTATTCTTTTTGGAGCCAGGCTAAAACCATTTTATACACCCATTATTTTAAATCTGATTAGGTTTTAATGTGGTTTTTATTTATTGGATGCTATGCTTCATTTTGTTTTGTTTTTATTGCAAAACCATTCTGAGGTTGTGGTAGTCAGACGGTAAACATAAGCATCAAATCAATCAATCAATCAGCCTTACTTCTGCATGGGTGTGGAAGGCAACTGGATGAAACCTCCCCAAATTATGTCAAAATTTGAGCAGCTTCATGTTAAAGTAGGAAATCCTTCAGGTATCTAGATGCTCAATTGTGTGTGGCATTAAAAGTAAGCATGGGTACTTATGACTTCACAGACAAACCCATAGATGATTTTCCCTTTGCATATGTGCTTCCCTGTCTGGCAAAATTTCTTCAGGATCACAAACAGGGTCTCTAAACTTTGTTTAAAGTACTTATGCATATATATTTTAAAATTTACAGTTTTCACAATTTGTTTAAAACATACAGTTCTTACCTTTGATCCAATGAGAGTATACAGCCACTGGATTGTTTCATTGTGATTTATTACTCCATTCATCCCATCAACATAGAGCATAATCTGTCCCAGGGCTAAGGAAATTAAAACAACAACAACAAGTCAAGTTAGCTAAACTGAGTTGCTTGCTATGTTATTGTGACGTAATAAGTACCAGATCTGAGACAAGAGAAAAGGCAGAATCCCAATTTCAACTTTTAAATCAGAACAAATGGCCATTCAAAATAACTCAGTCATTATTCTAGATGCAATGCAGTGTTATGCCCATGCAATCTAAAAATAACACTAGTGCCCACAGTTGCAAACTGTTAAAATTAAAAATTCCAGTGAATGGATAGAACTAAGGGATGAGGTCCATAGGCTTTGTCAGGAGGGTCAGTGAATGTGGGATGGCTTGGGGATAGAGCCCAACTGTTTTAACCAAGGGCAGACCCAAAAGTTGATGGTTTCTTAAAACTTTTTTAAAATGGGGACTCTAGGTTTTCCATTTGTCTTTCCATCTAACACACCCTGCTAAACTCAGCTGGCAACTCTACCAGTGTAAAGATTCCTCAACCATAGTTTGATATCCCATTACTTTTTTTTAGCATTGTTACCTTGTACTAAGTACAAAATAAAAGCCTGATCCAGTTAAGATTGATTCAGCAACTATCAAATTCAGCTTCAGTCCAACTCCAACTCTTCATATGGAAATAAATTGAAAGGCTATCCCAGGGGAAGGACACTGTTATTATGGGAAATTTCAATCTCCCTGATATTAGTTGGGAGATACATTCAGTGGTGGCTATGTTCCATCCCTTCCCAGAAGCTATGAGGGAGGGTTTTTCACCCAGAGGATTTGGGAGGCAACAAGTGGGAGAAAACGTCCTAGACTTGTATTTGACCAACAGGGAAGATCTGGTGGATGACTAGGGGAGCTCTGGATGCAAGTAACTGCTCCATCCTATGCTTTGAAATTAGAAGAAAAGGGGTGAATGGTAGCTCAGGTACTAGATGGGAGTTCATAAGGGCCAGCTTTGGTCAACTGAAAGTCAGCCTGGAGTGGCAAGAAGTGACAAAGTGCCACATGATATCCTGGTTGAGAAATTGAATAGTTTTGGGATAGACTGATGAACTGTCCAATGGATTAGGGTGTGGGTCCTCAAAGTACGGCCTGCGGGCTGCATCCGGCCCGCCATGCCCATTTATCTGGCCTGCCTTAGAGGTTTTGGACTCGCCACGCCCGATGCCTGCTGCTCGCCTCACCCCACGTGCAGGGAAGTGGCGACTTGCTCACATGGAGATCATTTTGGACTCGCTCGGAAAAAACAATCTCCAAGCGAGCAAGCCGCCTTTCCGGCCTGCGCCCAGCTGTGGCACCTTTCAACTGGCCCCCTGTTGAAAAAATGTGAGGACACCTGGATTAGGGATGGCTGATGGACCGACAAGATTAAGTTACTATTAGTGGGAAATCATCAGGATGGCAGCTGGTGACGATCAGGGTCCCCCAGGGCTCAGTCCTGGGACCAATCCTGTTCAATCTTTTCATCAGTGACCTGGAGGAGGGAGTGACAAGTCTGCTGGCCAGATTGCAGATGATATTAAAATGGGGGTGGTGGCTACAACTGAGGAGCAGGTACTCTGGATCCAAAAGGATCTGGACAGGCTATGGAAGAGGGTCAGGGATAACAGGATGGCATTCTATGTGGATAAATGCAAGATCTTGCACTTGGGACATATGAATGGGTGTCATAAGCACAGGTTAGGGGACAAGTAGCTGGAGAACAGCATTTGTGAAAGGGATCTTGGTTGACTACAGCCTAAACATGAGTCAGCAGTGTGATGCAGCAGCCAAGAGGGGGAATGCCACCCTTGGATGCACAGCCAGAAGCATGGTTTCTAGATCAAGAGAGGTATTGCTACCACTCTATTCAACTTTGGTGTGCCCGCAGCTGGAGTATTGTGTTCATTTCTGGGCCTCTCATTACAAGCAGGATATAGCAAGGTTGGAATCAGTGCAGTGAAGGGCTACAAGGATGGTGGCTGGTTTGCACGGGAAGTCGTATGAAGCGAGACTTAAGGAACTGTGTCTTTTCTGCCTGGAGGAGACTCCGAGGGGATTTGTTGGTAACTGTGACTGTGTCAGGAGAGGGGTGCCGGCTAAAGCTGCCTCTTCCTTGATTTTCCATGAAGAGCAACACCAGGACAGTGCACTCACCGAGTCTTTATTCACCTCTTTACACTTTCACCGGCTCGCTTCCAAAGCGCCTTGTCCTGGCCTGCTCTGGCTCCCTTCCCCCCTGTCGCTAGGGCAACGGCGTTTGTGCTGGCTTGCCTGCCAGCGACTGCCTTGCCCGCTCTCCTTCAACCACACGCGTGTCTCAGCTTTCTCTCCTCTCTTCCCTCCTCTGCTCACCCCCCCCCTCTTTTATCCACCCTCCTGCACCACTCCACCCAACCCAGGTGTTCCTCTCTCCTCCGCAATCCCATACAGCTGTGCACTCGCACGTGTCTCCTGGTTGTTGTCTTCTCGCGAGTTGCTCTCCCACATAGATTCCCAGCCTTGTCCTGTTATCTTCGGCCCTGCTCTGTGGAAGGCCCCAGGAAAAGGGGTGAGTCCCCCCTGCCTCCTCACAGTAACATATAAGGTACATGAGTTGTCATGCAGTGGGTCAAGGCCTGTTTTCTCCTGAGGAGAAGGGCAGGTTGCTTTCCAAAGGAGCAAACCTCAGGGAAGCAAGGATCAGTTTGGATGCCAAGAAGTACTTCCTGACAGTTAGGACCCCTAGGGCATGGAATGGGCTTCCATGGGAAATAGTTGAAGCCCCAGCGGTGAGGGTGTTTAAGGATAAGCTGGAAATGCACATGGTAGGCATGTCATGAGTGGAGCTGGCTAGAGCTGGGGGACAGACTAGATGGCCCAGGAGGCTCCTTCTGACTCACTCTATGGTTCTATGTTTACTGGAGGATTGGAGGGTAGCGTCAGTTGTCCCATTCTTCAAAAAGGGTAACAGAGCAGACAAGACAGGCCAGTTAGCCTAACATCCATTCTGGGAAAAACAATGGAAAAGCTCATTACAAGGAAAGCTCTAGAAACCCTAGTTATGGAGGGAGGGTTGACAGCCATGTAAAATGTCTTCCATAAAAATAGGTCCTGCCAGACAAATGCTGTTGAATTCTTTGACAAGGATGCTAGTTAGATTGGGGGGGAATGCCATATGAGACAAGATTCAGGGAGCTGGGACTTTTCAGCCTAAAGAAGACAAGACTCAGAGGGATTCTTATAAAGACATATAGGTATGTGAAGAGGTGTCACATCATGGAGGAAAGGAGGAGGTCCAATGGGATAAAACTCAAGGAACCAGGCTTCAAGTTGGATGTCAAGAAGTACTTCCTGATGGTTAGGACCCCTAAGACATTGAGTGTGCTTCCTTGGGAGGTGGCGGAGGCCCTATCACTGAGGGTGTTCAAGGGAAGATTGGACAACCCAATGTACTCAACCACCAATGTGTTGCGTACATACATAAGCAGAGCCAGCCATAGCCAGGGGGTCAGTCTAGGTGGCCTGGGAGTTCCTTTCTGACTTACTATGTTTCTAAATAAAAATATTCATCCCGTGACAATAGTTGGAATTCAACAGAATGGCTGCAAATGTTTTCCTGCCTGTCAGACCTGAATTAAATTTGCAGGCACAGTAGTCTGCAAATGAGAGACCTGCCACATCCAAGCAAACAGTTTTCCTACAACTTCCCTTAAAATGTTCATTTTTAAAAAAGGAAGTGCTAACTTTATTATTTGGCAGAACTCAATGAAATTTGTGGGGATAGAACACCCTTTTATAGAAATCAAGCCCAATAGATTTCAGTTGGGGAGTTTTTAAAATAAGGATGTATGTATTCCACTACATTTCTACATCCATCTGGGAGCACCTCCTCGTGTGCTGCAGCACTTAGAAAATAATTCAAATAAAGATATATAAAAATTCATATTGCCTTCAGCCACAAGAAACTAGGGAGAACTTTGGGAGAAATACTATTCACTTTTGCAGACACAACACAATCTGTGTCTCTGTTTAATTCCAAATCACTAACAAGTCTTCAGTTGTATTCAATTGCAGGGCCAAGTACTGCATAAAGTATTCTGGTAAGGCCTGACTAAAGCAGAGTACAGCTGCACCATTATTTCTCTTCAAATCAAGTCTATACTTATGTTGATACAACTTAGAATTTCATGAGCCTTTTTAGCCACTGCATCATACCACCAAGTGTATCAAAATTTCCAGTTTCTTTCTACATGTACAGCTGTCAAAGCAGTTATTTATTTATTTATTAAAACATTTCTATGCCGCCCCATTCGCCGAAGTTCTTACCCTTCCTGATTCTCCCTCCTTCAGTGCAGAACTTTACATTAATCACTGTACTAAATAGTTTAAGCTCAATTCTCCACATCACTGAACAGCTAAGAGAGCATCTTCAAAGGCACATAGCCATCTACTAACAATAAAAAATATATCAAAGAGATCCAGAATATTACTTTATTATTATTAGATTTATTAGGTAATACAGAATTGCTATCCAGCTGCAATTAGAGAATGCCTTAATAAATATTAGTTTTACTTCTCCTCAGCATAAAAAAATACTTTTATGAGAAACAGATAAGGTTGACAAGCTGCTCCTTTGTAGTGAATCTCCCTGGTTCAGAAGGAAAGGATTTTAATTGTATCTCAAGAAAATGTGAAACAAATTTTATGCCTCACACATATTGTTCAAATTAATCATGAACATAAATCAAAGATTGCTGGAAGTCTGCCATTAAAGCATCACATACATGTTTTTACAACAATAAAGACTGGCCATACAGTATCCAGGTAAATTCTGGACTGCATTAGTTCAAAACTTTCAGATTGTCACAAGCAGAGTCAGGCACTTTAATAAACCCCATGCAAAGAAACCACAACAATGTTCAAAAGAAATGCTAGAGTATTTTCATCTGCTACTGGAGAATTTTATCAGAGGCTTTTTCTGAGACTATGAAATTTGATTATATCTGCTCCAGATGAAGGATAGCACTGGAAGCACTGAAGGAAAATTGGAAA